AGTACGACATAGAGACAGGGTGCAGCATCGTGATGTATGAAATGGTGGTGTCAGTACGACCCCCTCCCCCTCGAGGGAGGCTGTGGGTACGACCCCTCCCCTTCCCCACACCTACCTACCAATTTCCTACACGTTCCCAGCTTCCTACCAGTTTTTCCGAAATTTACCAGTTCTTCAGTTTTTCACTCAATTTTCCTGCGTGTGGGTGTATATGGCAAACAGGAAAAATCATGAGAAGTCAACAACAGGGAAAACCTTTGCCTCAACCCGGCCAATTCCTCTCAAAGCCACAATGCCACCCCCCCTCTCCCAACAACGACCAAATACGAACCCCCTTCCCAGCGGAAAAGTACGACCCCCCTATGTGTTCCACACAACGATGCTGTACCCTGCATAGAGATATCATCCGCGGGAGCCTCTGTCCCTCACATGCCACACTACCGGCAAACTGAACCCCACTCTCGAGTAGGATCCTTGCCAAGAGCGAAATATCTGCAGCTGCAGCAGCGTACCACTTTCGCCGCTCCAAAGTAACAACGGGGCTGCGAGTGCTTTGTTACTGCCCCCACCATACTTCGATCACGCCATCCTCAAGGTGCAGGCAGCACTTACTTACGTCGATACCAAGGGCCCCATAGAGGAACACGTACTCGGCAGTAGAGAACGTCTAGAAGTGGGAAAACGCAGACAAGAACTGCGTTTGACTATGGTTAGGCACCTGGCTGGCCGTGCGGCAGAAGTAGTCGACACCAGCGCACCGTGACCTCTCAGCCCCGTTCCTCTGCACCTTTCGGGGGAGAAAGTGGCACGCTATTGTAGCTGGTAAGCTATGCCTTCCACATACGGCAAGGACCAAGATCTACGGAGGTGAGTGTACCGTTCATCTTTAGACTTGAAGACGCGGATCCCAATAAGCAGGAGGGTTTGAAATAGGCTTCATGATTCCTCATTCAAGGGGGGTCGTATTGTGGTCACTAGGGAGGAGATCAACCAGTTAACTTGAACGCTGACGCATTGTCTACGCCCCTTTGTACTTTGTGATGTAGCGATCACATCGTGAGCAAAGGGGAAGGTCAGTATTAAGGGAGAAATTCACTCATATCATGCTCTTACTCTGGGTTGGAGAATCCAAACAGTTGCGGCTTCTGTGGAATGATATTGCCCGGAGCTAAAATACAATCAGCCACTGAGCTAGTGCAAAATGAAAAGTGCCTTTGTGAGGCTATCGTGAGGTTCATCTTCCTAACTCACGGTGGTTTAAGACACGTCCTAGTGGTTTCGTAGCGTGTCCGCCAGGAATGTGGTAACAGCGGATCACAAGTACATATTTGTCACTTCTTAGTAAAGGGTACGGCGTGCTAACCACATCCAGGGATTAATTTATAGCCAATGGACGATAAATCAAGTAGGTTCCCCTAACTAATGTTACCTGACTCGACGAGAAAGGCTATGAACAACTAAGCACCTGGTGCTACCGTTGCACTTCTACTACGGCTGTCAAGCCCGCTCCATATCCTAGATATGGGGTAGGCGTGGCCTGCGAACGTCATTTGAGTGGTACCGTAGTTGCGCTTTGGTAGAATATTGCGGTTCTGCGGCGATTGTAATCATGACGTTGTTCAACACAAGGCATGATTACAGTTGTCTTTAAAGAAATATCCCACCAAAAAAGGAAATATTCCATGAAGAACGGATCCTAGCCCACATTCAAAGGATCCGCAGCCACGCCTCTCCTTTTTCCAGGACATGGAGCGCAGGCCATAGATAGAGAGAAGTAACGTAAAAAGCCTCACCTGCTTAGTGAATTCATGACAGATGGTCTTGCCGACTTGCACCTTTGCTTCAATGGTGTCCAACTTTGGGATCGTAAAGGAGACCGTCTTCCCGAACCAGAATCAATCCATCACCACTCATCGCTGTCTTCTCCAAATGAGGAAGAGCAAACAAATCTGCAACTTACTGATTGCTTCATAGAAATATAAATACATTCATCACAACTTTTCAAAAAATAATGGCTGACAAATTATGCTTCCCACACACGAACCTAATTTTGTGCATCTGGGAGGAACGGCAAGGTAGCTCTGAAAGAATTCGAACACCTTCTCTGAAGTTTCCAACGCGAATTCCGTTGAGTTGATGGCTTCTGGGCGTGAGTACACTCTGATCTGAATTGCATGGATTGAAAGAAAGCGTTTTTCGACTAGAAGACGGATGGGAGCTGAGGTTCCCTTCTGCAAAACTGAGCTATGTAAAGGAAACGGGGAGCCTGCATAGGGTCTAGGGAGAGGTACAACTCTGTGAAGGAACTGAGATGAAACCTATAATGAGTGAACTAACTTCGGCCAGTTCGCAGGGCCTTTCATTCTCTGGCAATCCCAGTTCTGCACAAGGAGACCTCGAAATGACCCTCCTCCTCTCCCGTAGAGGCAGCGCCTTATTAGGATTCTCTGATTCTCTGTTTTACAACTGCTAAAGAACTGTAGTAGTCTCTTACTTCCCTAATAAAAGGCGATAAATGGCCTGATTAAAGATTATAAATCAACTGAAAATGCATAAAGCAGGGTTTAGGCCTTATGAAAGACGGTCGAGGACAAAGGCTATAACGCTGTGGTCATTAAAATGTGCGCTCAGAGGGGTTATGCTATCATCAAGAGATTTATGCCCCGAAAGATGGTATGCATTCATTGCGCGGAACCGATCTCGCGTCGTGTTCGCACTAACGGCGCGGCATCGCATCACGCCAAACGGAATCAGAGAGGTGGCGGGCA